GGACAGTAAACCACTCTTATCAGTTAATAGTAGAAGCCCCCTGAAATCTAAATTCCCAGATTCCAGTCAGTGGACAACCCTGTATGCAGGCTTTTCAAAGGATAGCAGTTCAGTCCTACTATGGTAACTTTCTTCTCTACAGTTCTCCATTCCAGAATTTATCCTTTCCTCTCCATGAAAAGGTTATTTTTATAAAAACTTTCTGATAAACAATACAGGGTTCATTTCATAAAACTTTTTTTTTTTTTTTTTTGGGTTGAGGTTTCTCTCACTTTGTCCCCCAGGCTGGAGTGCAGTGGTGTGCTCATGGCTTACCACAACCTCAACCTCCTGTGCTCAGACAGTCTTCCTACCTTAGCCTCTCAAGTAGCTGGGACTATATAGGTGCTCGCCACCATGCCTGGCTAGTTTTTTTATTTTTTTTTTGTACAGACAGGATCTCACTATGTTACGTAGGCTTTTCTTGAACTCCTGGGCTCAAGCAGTCCTCCTGTCTTGACATTGCAAAATGCTAGGATTATAGGCCTGAGCCTGTATGCAATATGTAAGATGCATGGGTATCATAAAGATGAATAAGACATAGATTTTCAGTCTAATGGCAGGATCATTGGAAAAAATCAGACTGTTAGGATTGCCACAGTAGAAGTATATGCCATTGTAGCTTAGACTAGGAAGGTCTGAGCATAAGGAAATTGGTAATGATTTTCTCCAAGCAGATAATATTTCAGTTGAGCCTTGAAGGTGAGTAGGAATTAGGCTGATGGGGAGATAAAGTGGGCATAGGTATGCTAGAGAGAAAGCATAAGTAAAGATATGAAAGCATGAAAATATATAATGGTTCATGATAAAAGTGATCAGATTTGGCTACTGAATTGGTTTTTAGAGAGCTGGGAGAGGCAGACTGTATAGTATGAAGAATTTTTTTTTTTTTAACTAAGGAATTATTTTTCTTTTCCATAGACAATGGAAGCCAAATAATTTTTATTAAGAGTCGTGATTACATCTGTTATTTAGAAATATAATATTGGTGGTAGTTTTCCAAACTGCATGCAGTTTATGACCCATTTGTAGGTTGTGAAATCAATTTAAATTGGGATATTTTATAATATATCATTGCATTACACATAGTAAAGGTGTCATTTCAGGAAGTGTTATAAATGTGTCCACACAGATGTGTGTGTAGTGGGTCATGATATTAAGTGTATTTCTTAGATTACAGTCAAAAGTTTCAAAAACCTTTTTTCAAAAGATTGACTATAAAGGTGGAGACAAATTAAAAAGCTATCTCAGTTTTTAGTACTAATTTCTGGTAAATAACCTGAAATTTTTTCGCTACGTACATGGGAGGACCCCCAAAAAACCTGGAATTATCTTTTTGGAGGGCAGGCCCTTGTAATATACTTGTTCCTCTCGATAAAATGGTCAACCAAAGTATTTATATGGAAGTTTTGAGAAGGTTGTATCACGATTTGCAAAGGAAACGTTCCAAGTTGTGGCAAACAGGTGACTGTTCTTCCACGTGGCAACACATCTGCCCACACTGCGCTGAGTGTTCAGCAGTTTTTGACTACAAATGGCAAGATCCTCATGCCCCACCCTCCCTGCTCACCTGATCTCGTGCCCAGTGACTTTTTTTGTTTGTTTGTTTCCCAGTATGAAAAAGTTCTCAAAGGGAAGTGTTTTGCTGAAGTGGAAGAGATGAAGCAAAAAATGGCAAAAACACTAAATGGCATCAAAATGCTGAGTTAAAAAACTGTTTAGAGCAGTGGAAAAAGCATCTCAATAGATGTATTACGTCAAGCAATGTTTTATAAATTCAGTTTTTTGGGGGGTCCCTCATATACCTAAGAGTGCTAAATAAAAAACAAAGTAGGCCGTAGCTGAGTGATTCAGAATGTAAGTGAAATATTCAGGGGTTAGGAATGAAGGATAACTGAATAAAAAGAGCAGTATGTGAGCTAATGTTGGGGTGTTAGAGATATGGGAAAAGAGGTGGCTGGTCTTCTAAATACAGGATCTTTGGTTTTAACAGTAGATGTTATCACTAGGGACAGAACTATCCAGTGATCAGTACAAGGTAGTAATTAAAATGTGGATCTCTCTTGCCTAAGGATCTAGACTGGAGAAAAACAATTCTGAGAATGCACAACTATATAGTTCCATACCTCATAATTTTGTGGAATTAAAATTCATACTACCCAAGTTGTATAACTGGGAAACTAACATACCAATTTGGTTCCAAGTATGTCCCTGAGGTGCTTGGAAAAACCAAGGAAAATCACTCTGAAGTGGCATACACTCATTCACTCCAAGCCATGCACTTTTTTTGTTGTTAAAAGCTGAACTAGGAATCAAACCGATGTAATCACGACTCTAACGAGTGAGAATCAGCATATATAACTAGTTGCAGGATTAGATTTTCCTAAAAATTTAACAAATAGAGCTCTCTGGTAGAGACTATAAAATCTGTTTTCTTAAAATGTTTACAAACAAAAGAATAAATTTAAAACATGAGAGACTCTAACAGTATAAAAGGTAGAATTGAGAAAGAATTTCCAGAAATATAAATATCATTAAAATTGAAAACTCAATGAATTAAAGTTGCAGATTAGACCCAATTGATGAGAGAATTACTGAATTAGGGAATGGCTTTTAGGAAATTATTTAGAATGCAGCAGAGATAAATAATTGAAAAATATTGTTCGGTGTTGTGACTCATGCCTGAAATCCCAGCACTTTGGGAGGCTGAAGCAGGGGGATCGCTTGAGGTCAGGAGTTTGAGGCCAGCCTGGTTGAAGTGGTGAGACCCCATCTCTACAAAAAAATTATTTTAAAAAAGGAAACAAAATTAAATATATGAAAGTGAAATTGAATCATGGAAAATTAAAGGAGAAGGCACTTTATATTTCTAATGAGTCCCAGATGTAGAGAATAATAATAATGAGGGAAAGACAATAATAAAAAATGTAATGATTAATACTTTTTTAGAATTGTTGTAAAATTTAAGAAGTAAGCGGCCAAAAGTAAAAAATAAAACCATGTTTAGATACTTCAGAATGAAACTGAGGAACAACAAAGACATAGAGAAGATCTGAAAGGAACCAGAGGCAAAAGGCAGGAAGCGATTATTCCAGTAGTCATGTAAAGAGTTGGTATATGTCTGATGTCAGGCGGTGGGCCCAGAAGATCTAACGGAACTAGAGACAGCATGACTTGGCAGATCAGTGAATGACAACGTAAAGGCTTAGAAAGAGGAGGACGAGGATGATGCTGAGTGTCTTAGTCTGTTTTGTGCTACTACAACAGAATGCCCGAGACTGGGTAATTTATAAAGAACAGAAATTTATTCCTCACGGTTTTGGAGGTTGGAAAGTCCAAGATCAAGGCACTAGCATCTGTTTGTTGAAGGCTTTCTTGCTGTGTCCTCACATGACAGAGGGCAGAAGGGCAAGAGAGGGCAAACCCAAGCCCTTTTGATAGTGGCATTCATAAGGGCAGAGCCCTTGTACCTAAACACCTTTCAAAAGGCCCCAACTCCCAGCACTGTTGCATTGGGGATTAAGTTTCCAGCACATGAATTTTGGGAAACAGATTGAGACTACAGCACTGAGGCTTATAGTTTGTTTATCCAGGCAGATAATGATACTTCATTCAAGACTGGAAACATGAGATGACAAGATTTAGGATTGTGCAAGAATTTGAAGGGTGGATGACAGAAAAATAACACCGTTTAGGAGTTCTTGAGTTTGAAGTAACTGTGTGAGACATCTATATTTGCTGTCTGCAAGTCATTAGGGATATATCAGAGTCCAAAAAGGCTAAACATTAGAATTTGCAGGGTTTTTTGTGAGTGATGATTAAAATCATGAGATTGCCAAGGGATAGAATGCAAGGTAAGTAGAGATTGTGTGTGTTTTGGAAGTTGGGAATGAGCCTCTTTAAAGAAGTAGGTAGAGAATGAACAGTGAGAATGTGTGGGACCAGGAAGAAGTAGTATACAGCTGAGAATTTAGTAAGATTTGATGATTTGGAGATCATGGAAAGAAGATGGGATTCTCTTAATCTCTACAGCAGCGAGCTGTGACAACATGTGAAGTGTTGCTAACCAGGGAAACTCATCAGAGTCTCCGCGCTCAAGACTTTTTTTTTGAGACAGGATCTCAATCTGTCACCCAGATTGGAGTGGAGTGGGCTCAAGTGGTCCTCTCATCTCAGCCTTCAACCTAGCTAGGACTATAGGCATGCAGCACCATGCCTGGATAATTAAAAAAAAATTTTTTTTGTAGAGATGCGTTTTGCTATGTAACCTAGGTTGGTCTTGAACTCCTGACCTCAAGTGATCCTCTTACCTTATCCTCCCTAAACCCTAGGATTACAGGCGTGAACCACCGCACCCAGCCAGTGTTCACAATTTTTATGCAGGACTAATATCACATCGGCATCTCATTCTTTGAAAAATCTTCCCCGAGTGTTAGGAGTGATACCTAGATTTTAGTAGTTTAAGAAGTGAATGTTCTGTGAGCTTGTAAAAGAGTCAAAAAGGTTAGACAGCAAAGGAAGGGGGAAAAAATGACTTATCTTCACTTATGTATCTAGTTTAAAATATTCTTAATTTACCATGAAACAGTTTACCATTTTAGAAATGTTTTTATAATTCCTTGTATATTTTTTTTTGTTTTCGTCTTTGAAGACTAGGAAAGTCTATTTTTCTGCTAGAGCTGATGGAAACAGTAATGCTTGTTAGATGATTAAGCAATTTCTGGTGCTACTTTATTGCCTTCCACCAGATGGACCTCTTTCAATTTTGTTTCCTTTTCTCCAGTACCCATCGTCTTTTTTTTTTTCTTTCCTGTTTCTTTTATTCTTCTTTTTCATCTTTTTCTTTCTGTTGTATTCAGGAGAATCAAGATTAAAGAGGTTATTTATAATTTAGAGTGGAATATTTAAAAAGTTGATAGACATTGGAGGTATGTTACTGTTAAATTTTTCTTGCATCCTAGGAAGAGTATTAAAAAACAACAATGTGAAGCTATTGTGGGAGCCCAGTGTGGCCAAGCAGTGTTAAGGGGAGCCCATGTCTATGTTCCAGGAATTGTATCAGCTTCAAAATGTAAGTATGATGTTTAGGCTCCTGTTTAAAATAACAGTTCTCTAAAATTTATGTGCATTGTCAAATGGAAAATTTGTTGAATTATTACTAAGATTTATTTCAAATGTACCTTTGTCAGATATTTTCCCATGTTTGCATTTATGATTTTATCTGATAAGGAATAATAAATTAGGCATCCATATAGTTTTCTGCCAATTTTTTCTTTCCATAAAAGGATATATGTCCTGGTATTTGTTTAGGGGATCATTACTGATAACAGAAAGAAGAATAAAAGTTATAAGTGGAATTCTACTTTGTATTCTTGATCCATTGTCCTGAAACTTCAAGCAGCTGTCACATCATTGGTGAGGGTAGCATCCAAAACCTGGACTTGAAATCAAGAAACAGTGGTTTTGATCTGTTACAAGCTAATTTAGTCTCTGGGCCTCAGTACCTTATCTGTGAAATAAATTGATCTGCATCAGAATTTGGCAAACTACCGTCCACTGGCCAAGTCTGGCCCATACCTGTTTTTGCATGGCCTGCAAACTAAGAATGGTTTCAGCATTTTAAAAATGTAAACAACACCCCCCCCAAAAAAAAAAACACCAAGAATTTGCCTTAGAGACCTTATGTGGCTACAAAGCCTGAAATATTCATTTACCCTTTGCAGAAAAAGTTTGTTGACCCCTGATCTACATGGTATTAACAGTCTGAGCTCTAGCTGGCAGACTGCTCACGCCTGTTGTCAGGCCAGACAAATTTATAATAGGTTAGGTTTTAAAATGTTTTTTGGCAGTGAAACATAATTTTTCATTATTAATATCACTGGGATTGTTACAGAAAATAACTTAATAAAATGCCTACAAAAATAAATTTAATCAGCCATATGAACCAACACTGTAAACTGCACAGTTTAAAAGTTTTCTAAGTATATACCCACATATGCATATGTGTGCATATTTATATATGTATATGAATGAATGTGTGTGCTTATTATTAAAGACTCTTCCTTAATTGTGCTGTAACAGCAAAACAGCAAAGAAATACCAACAGAATTATGGGATTTAGAAAGTTCTGGAGGCTTTTAGTGCACATTTTTTGAGGAATTCTTTTTAGGCAAACTTAGAACTTTGAGGATTGATCTGAGATATCAAGATTTATGTGAAAATGTTTAAGGAATGTTAGGCTTAGGGGAAATAATTTATATAGAAGATATCCTTCTCTGTTCAACTGAAGATTTCCAAATGACATAGGGTATTTTGAAGATTATTCTATTTATCTTCACTAAAAAAATTCTTTAATTAGATTTATTGTTAGGGAATACTTAAAAGTAAAAAGTCAGATTTTCTATAAAGGATTATATTGAAACAGCCAATTTGAACAGCTTTGACACTGTTGACGCCCCTAGAGATCTGATCCCCAGTCTAGATTAAAGAATTTTTACTGTTCTTCTGCCAAAGTATAGATTAGTGTAATCTGGGTTTTTTTCTTTCTCTAGTTATGAAAGCTGGAGATATAATCTCTGTATACTCTGATATTAAAGGAAAATGTAAGAAAGGAGCCAAAGAATTTGATGGAACAAAAATATTTCTTGGAAATGGAATTTCTAACTTAAGCCGCAAAGAAATCTTCAACGGGTTACCTGAACTGAAGTATGTCATGAAGTGTTATGGGAGAGATAAGCATCCTTTTTGTGGTTCAAATAAAATTAAAAACAATGTAAAAATGTATCTAATTGCATTATATGAGATTTTTTTTGGTATAAATTCAACGGGAAAAAATTGTTTAATCTTTATTTCCGTGATCTTTGGAAAAAGTGCTTTCAGGTCAACAAGTGTAAATGATCAAATTAAAGAGGTTAAGTAAGCAACCGGTCACACTGTAATTGTCAAGTAATTTTACTTGTTCTTTTAAATTGCATTATTTTTTCCTTTATTCTTTTTTTCTTAATGAATATGAAGATTGTGCGTAGATCTGCTCTGTTTATCTTTGAGTCTGTAATAGGAAATTGATATTTTTACCGCCTCCTTTCGTTCATTGTCAGTGGTAGATTCTTCACTCTCTTAGTTGATGTGGCAGTTCCAGTTGCTATGCTGAATGTTTTCTTTTTTGTGTGTGTGAGAAATCAAATTGACTTTTTAGTAATCAGATCTGGTCCAAGCTTGGTAGCTCAGCCTGTAATTCCAGCCCTTTGGGAGGCCGAGGCGAGTGGACTGCCTGAGCCCGCGACTTTGAGCCCAATCCAGGCAACTTGGTGAGGCCTCATCTCTACAATAAATAAAAAATTAGCCAGGCACAGTAGCTCATGCCTGTAGTTCTGGCTACTTGGAAGGCTGAGGCGGAAGGATCGCCGGAGCCCAGCAGGTCAACGCTGGGGTGGCCATGAACATGCCACTGTAATCCAGCCTGGGAGACAGTGTGACTCCAACTCAAAAAAAAAAATCAAATCTGGGAACTAATAGAGTGAGAACCCGGTACTGTTAAGACACACCACACTGTTCATGAGGGGTCTGCCCCCATGATCTGTCCAGACACTTCTGCCAGGCCCCATGTTCCACATTGTGGATCAAATTTTGAGATGAGATTTGGATGGGACAAATACCCAAACTATATCAGTCATGTTAAGTTACATAACGTGTACATAGACTGACTTGTGCTGGTAGCCTTAGTCAGAAGATAGAGGACACCAGAACATAAAGCACTAGGTAGGAACTGGGTTATGAAGGCCAGCATGTAAATTTCAAAGTTCTGGTATTTTTTAGAGGACTAGAGTGCTGCAAGTCAGTAAGTCATTAAATTGGTACGGAATGATCAGCTCATGGAATTCAAGATGTCCAGTAATGGGTGGGAAGTAAAGTGTCGATCAAGGTAAGAGCACCAGCTCTAACAACAGGAATGACTTTCGAATGTGAGGCAGTGACATTTCAGGAGGTTCCTTTGTATGTTTCCTGCTCAGGAGGAAGAATTATTTGCCCAGGAAGTTAATATAATGGTTTGATTTGATCCTGACAGGAGCAGGGACTGAATTTTTATCTCTGATTAAATTAAAGTGCAAATTCAGAGATTTCAAGTGGTAAACAAGTGAGTGTGGCCATAAAGGGGATGGGAAGAGGAAGAGGAATCTTCATTTATTATGTGCTGAAGGCTGTTAGAACTGAAGGAAGTTCATAATTACGCCATTGAAGCGACAGTCCACCGATACCTGCAGAAGTTACTTCGCTCTAAAGGCCAGTACAAACTTATCCTGCCAATGTCAAGTAGGGTACAGATTGTCCAGGTAGATTCTTCTCTGCTAAGATCAACTTGTAAGCTATCTATGAACCTGTCTATCATATTGTTTCTGGGACTTCATCTTTGTTCTTCCTACTTAGACTCTCTTCTTTGCTTAGACTCTTACACCTGGTTTAAATCCTGATTTTAATCTTTGCTGTTATGATTAGATTGTACCTTTTCCTATGTCCTTTAATTTCTCTTTTCTCTTGCTCCCTCTGGTTTGGTCTGATACACTAGGCCATGCTTCACGTTCCCTTTCTCCCTTTGATTGTCTCTGACAACCTCTTAGATTTCGACATTTGTCTTTATGAGTCACTGTTCACTTTGCCATTCTGGGTTCTGGCCCTTCCTGCTCTGATGAGATCCATTTCCACTCAGAAAATGAGACAAAGGTGGGGAAGGTCATCCTTGAGATTGTGTCAGTACCAGGCAATTATTCTTTAAAGAGATGAGAGGAGATCAGTATAGCATGTTTGTCATTCCTCAGCATCAGCATGGTTCCAAGTATTTTCTTTCATTTTTTAAAAAAGTACCTACCAAAAGGCCACACAAGTGGAATCAAAGGGCTAATAACAGTGATCATCATTCTTTTACCAGAAATATTAGAACAACCTGATAGAGAATCAGGTGTTGTTTGCTTTTTAGTCTGTTCAGATCTCTAAAGATACTTATTTGTGCCTACATGAAACATTTATGTAACTGTATTCTTTTTTAGTTCTCATGGCCTCCTACCACTGTAAGTAAAAATTCAAAAATTCACAGGACTATTCTAAATATTTTGGTATTGAATAAAAGGTTTTAAAACGGCAGAGCATCTTAGATTTGACAGACTACCTGAGTGTTTCTAGAAACATAGTTTGTGTAGACTGTGTAGTTCACACAGATTAATGTTGGATTTCCTGTTTTTCAGAGGGATAGGCATAACAATGACGGAACCAGTGTATCTCAGCCCTTCATTTGACAATGTACTGCCCCATTACTTATTTTTACAGGTATGTATTTACAAAGTATGTAGTGACATTGTAACACACGTCAGTGACTTATTTGAAATCCAAGGTTTTTTTGTTTTTTACTTCTGTTAACATATTTTTTTATGGTCTGTTAAAATATACTCTGATATACCTTTGGTTAAACAGTCAGAGAAAACTTCATAGTACTCTTCTTTTTTTTCATTTTCTCAATTGATTTTTAAACTAAATCTTGTATCTCCAATCCTAAATTTTGTATGCCCAAAGGTGATTTAAAAGCTTATTAAAACTACTGCTTTCCTTCTCAGAATATTAATCCCTAAATGATGCAGGCGCTTGCTTGCTTTCTTTCTTTCTCTCTCTCTCTCTCTCCCCCTCTCTCACATGCACGGTCGCCATAGCCTCAGCCTGCTGGGCTCAGGTTATCCTTCCGTCTCAGCCTTCCAAGTAGCTGGAACCACAAGTGTGCGACCATGCCTAGCTAATTTTTTGATTTATTGTAGAGATGAGGTCTCACCAAATAGCCCAGGCTTATCTCGAACCCTTGGACTCAGGAACTCCTCTCACCTCCACCTCCTGAATGCTGGAATTACAGGCGTGAGACACTGAACCTGGCTGCATGCACTTTCATATACATATAAGTATTCCTCTGGTAACTTTTAAGTAAGAGTCAAATAATTTATTATCAGATTTTTGTTAGGAGGTTATCATTTATTGTGACATAGCATAATTTGCTTTGCTTTGTCTGATTTACTAAGTACTTTCATGTCCATTAACTCATTTAATTTGTTTCAACCTGCTGGTTAGGTGCTATTATTATTGTTATTATTCCCAGTGTAAGATGAAGATACTGAAGACCAGATCTGTTGTAGTTCTTGGCTAAGGTCACCTTACTGGTATTGGTGATGTCTGAACTCAAACCTAAGACCAGATACCATATGCCATCTTCTCTGCCCGCTGTTTAACCAAAAGACAGTTTAAAGATTCAGAAATTACTTTTGGTATAAAATGAGAAACAAAAATAGATTTATTTTTATTTTCATCTAATTGACATTTGTGATATTGCAACACATTAGGATATATAATCCAATACATAATTGCTTATGAATCATTTTGGTTTTTTGTATGCTTGGTGTTAGTGTTTTTGCTTGTTTTTTGTATAATTCATTTTCAAACACTTGTGATCAGTTGACAACATAGCCCTGAATCATTTCTAGTGATTCCTGCATTCCTTCACATTAGTGACCACCAAAGCAACATAATTTTTCTCTTTGCCTTGATAATAAAAGGCCAGTTACCTGCTCATTCCATAATTTTTTTGACTTTGTAAAAAGAGAGAAATCTGGTTCAGTGCAATTTTTTTTTACATTTTTTGTTAACTATAGCTATAACCCCCAACTTAAAATCAGCTTAATGATGGCTTTATGAAATATAAATTGTGAGTCATTTTGTGATTCATAGTGTCTATATAGCACCATGGAGTCATATTCTTTGTCACCTAATAGCAAGGGACATGAGACTTTACTGATGGAAGAAAACTTATCTGAGGGTGGAGTTTTTCTAGTGGAAGCTGTTTTTTTTTTTTAATGTTTTTTGTTTTATGCTGTTTTGTTTTAATTTATCTTGATGATCATTGGCCAATGAAACTTATTAAAAATGATGATAATGGTAAACATAGCTAACACTTATTGATTACTAATTATGTTCCATATGCTGAGTTTTTATATATGTTATTTCATTTACTTCTTACATACCTCCAATTTTATAGATAAGGAGATGAATGCCTTTATACATACATACATATATGCACACACACACATACACTTTTGATATATTCTCTTTTTTTTGAGGTCTCACTCTGTCACCCAGGCTGGAGTGTAGTGGCATGATCATAGCTCACTGCAGCCTCAAACTCCTGGTCTCAAGTGATTTCTCCTGCTTTAGTCAGAGATGGAGGCTTCGATAAGTAAAGTAAATACCACAAAGTAGGCACTCAGTTATTTTTGAGTGGTACGCTGAGTGCCGCATAGATAGAAATCAACAAAGCCAAAATTTGATTCTAGTTCTCTCTTACTTCAAGCTTGTGCTTTTGACCCTCTGCCAGCACTCCAAACATAACCCTTGAAGACCTTCAGGACCTGTTGAAAATGCAGTTCCGGGGCCCTAGTTTAAATGTACTGATTCTGAAGCTCAGGGAGTGGACACTTCAAGCAATTCGCATATTCCATCAAGCTTCCCAAATGCTGCTTTTGCAATTTCCCAGAACTCTGTGGTCAGTATTTAGTTGATGTAAGAAATTGGTTGGTCATTTTGTATTACATTTTTCTTTTCAAGCTAGTTCAGAACCACCAGATTCTCAACTGGGCCACATCTGATCCAGGAAAGTCTAAAATCTTAATTCAGTGCAGATCAAAACCAGTATATCTCTAAGGAAAATTAGAGTAAGTTTACCATAAGAAGAATATGGAATTTTAAAAAATTTGTTATTGTCCTTATAGACATAATTATTTTCACAAATAGGAAAGGTTTAATATTTATATATAATGGTAATAACATATTTGGAAGTCCAGATTCAACAATTAAGTGCCTTCCCTTTCAGACAAGCATACTTGAATACTCAGATGACTATAATGTCATTTAGCTGTTGATTAAAAGATAGTCACCGGTATTACATCGTGTGAGAGGCATCATCTAAATCAAAGCACTTTCCACAAGTTGCACATCATTGCAATAAATACTGATCCTTTAATAACAAATTGAAAATTGTTTTTGCTCTTGTCAGTATCATGCTTTACTTTGCTAACAGCTAAGAAGTTGATAGGACTGTTACAGAGCAAAAGGTCTAGCTGCTCCAAGCGTTAGAATCCAATGCCCTGACACCAGGTTTTGTGAGAAAAGAAAAACTTTAAATCTGTTTCTTTTTGCAGGCTTCAAGGCACTATTTTTATAAGAAGAGGTTCAGGGAGTAGATTCTGAAAGTAGTAGGTGATGGGTGAAAGGAAAGGAAGGTCTGGAAACACCTCAGACGTGTATTTGTCTCTTCATGCTACCTTATGGGTTACATGTGCAAATTTGGGGGGGAACTTAGTATGAAATATGCAGTGGAAATTCAGGGTGTATGTCAGCAGTCTAGTTCTATGCACATTCCAATTGGTCATATTGGTTCCAACTGATTTCACCCAGTTTTTTCTTGGTCTCACAAACAGCGCAAACTCAAGAGTTTTTGTTATTCATATGTTTCTTACTCCTAGGACTTAGTTTGTTTCAGTTTTTCAGAAAATTATCTGCTATCCTGTAAGCTCAAGAATTTAATCATTTGGTTTCTTTAACTCTTTGGGTCATGGTCTCAATAGCCATGATTTATAATTTTTCCTGTGACTTTAGGGATTAATTTAGATCTAATATAAAAGATCTAATATTCAAGGCCTTTCATAATTATCAGCCTACACAGGGAATCTTGTTTTACAAATTTTATAATCTCATTACACCAGTCATCAGGACTGCAGTCAGTGTATTGTGTATCAAATCACTTGTAGTGCAGGTACCTAGAACCTATTCCTAGAGATATTTTTCAGTAAATTTTTATTTTGGAACAATTTTAGGATTGCAGAGTAGAATTTCAGAATTATAGATTTGCAAAGATAGTTTAAGAATGTCCATATACCTTTCACCCAGTGTCTCGTAATGGTAATATCTTATATTGCCATGGTACTTTTTAAAAAACTGATACGAACACTAGTACGTTACTATTAACATTACTGTGTTATATATGTTACATGCATAACTACAAATTCTGTGTACGTCACATTACCGTAAATTCCAGATTGTATTCAGATTTCACTGTTTTTTTTTTTACCCCTAATGTCCTCTTTCTGTTCCAGAATTCAATCTAGGATCCTACCCAACTAATTAATCATCATGTCTCCTTAGTCTCCTCAGGCCCGGTTTTTATGACCAATTTTGAGACAGTTTTGTGCCTAATGTATTTTGTTGAATGTCCCTTACTTTGGGTTTGTCTGATGTTTTTCTCATGGTTAGCCTAGGGTAATTGGATTTTTGAGAAGAGTACCATAGAGTTGAAGTGCCCTTACTATATCGGGGTGCAGGGTATCCCTGTGGAGATTTTGATTCCAGAGGTTTGGAGTAGATAATGGGAATCTGCAACTTGTTGGTTTGTATATTTCAAATTTCTTTAGAGTATTGTGATATATACCTGGGTTTGGGAGCCATCACACAAGGAATATCCTCCTTTAGATTTTTTTTTTATAAAATATCCAGCAATTAAATTAAAGTGTTTGTTATTCATCAGGCATTGTGATAAGCACTTTTGAGGTATTGCATAATTTAGCCACGTTTATTTCATTTAATTATTTATAGTGAATTCTCTCTTATTATCTATGGTCAACTTTTATTTCTTCTCATGGTGTGTGTTTCCTCCATTTTGTCTTAAGTTTTCTAATAGAATTGTTCTACTTTGAAAAAAATGACACTTTCTCTGATGTACTTTCATTATTGCTAGACTGAATGTACTCTTTCATTAGATCTCTGTCATTGTGAAAAAAAAAAACAAACTTGGCAGAATCCTTAGAGTGTGTTATGTTTCATACTCTTTCACTTATCATTACTTATTGATGCTGTAAGCTGTTTTCCATGTGTGGAACAAAAGTTCACATGTATAAGCCTGAGAGTATCACATTTGGAGTCACACCATATACATGTGTCCCTCCTTAATGTTCATTTTGATTATGCTGTCAAGATATTTGGTTTTTCCATCACAGAACTTATAATTTTAATTGTTTTTCCTCCTTGCAACTGATAATCAGTCTGTAGGGAAACACTTTTACAATTATCAAGCTATCCTACTCCTCATTAAAATTTTCCCCTTGATGTAGCATCCATTGATGATTTTCACCTGAGCCAGTTGTTACTGCTACAATACAGTGATCCCCAACTTCAGCAGTCAGCACTTAGCACTTTAATGTAAGAGTCCTCTCTTTTTTCCTGATTATTTACTTATATATTAATGGTGTACACTTACAGATTCCTGTTTTTACATAGTTTATAATTCATTATTGTATTTAACTATTTCAGTACTCAAATTTTCCTAGATTCATTCCCATTTCCAAATTCATTTTAATCCACATAGATTAAATGAACATTATTAATGTATAGAACATTAATAAATATATTAAATAAATATATAAATAAAATAAAAATCTCGTAGTGTTTGTTAAAGTGCAGATTCTGATGCATAGATTTGCAGGGGGTGCTGAGATTCTGGTTTTCTAACCAACTCTCGAGATTTGGATGCCCTTGGTTTAAGGGTCACACTTAACAAAGTAGTGGGGAGGTCTGAGAAGTAAGTTTCATTCTTAAAAGGGAAGAGCATCCCTTCATATTTCATGTCTTTCTATGCTGCTGGATTTTTCACATAGTAAAACTGCTAAGTTAACAATGTGTATTATAAAAAGAAACGTATTTAGAACCTTGTAGTATAGACTGGTAGGTAGGATAACTTTGTAATCATGAGGTTTCTTCTCTCACTGGTCATGTGTCACTTGTGCCAACGAGTCTGATGCTTTTCAGTTGTGTGTAATTAGTACTCAGCTGCTGCTTTTGGCAGTAACCCACCAGCAGTTCCAACTGCAGCTTATTAAATATAAAAGAAGCGTTCATTTTACTGTTGTTATAATGAAAAGAGCATGCACAGAGGTTAGGAGTGCTATTGTTGCACCTCTATCCGTGTTTGGTATGTAGTAGGCACTCATTTAAATTTTGTAGAGTAGATGAATAAAAGCATCTGTCTACTATTTCGATTCTGAATTTTAAGCATTACTAGGCTAGGACTTATGGAGAGAACGTGTATCTTGGTCAATGAGTATTTATTAAAGTCTGATAATAGCTTGATGAGCCCATAAATAGCTTTGACTTTTAACACTTTTAGCTACCTCCTTGTTGAGATGGAATACTATGTAAGAGTAAGTGGTAGTTTTTTAAAAAAATGCCTAAAGACAATTCATTTCTAACTTATCCTCCAACCCCTTTGGACTGTGAAAAGTCCCCATAACAAGAAGAGAATAGATTTCCCTGGGAGTAGACAAGATATTGGACTGTACCAAGGGCTGCCAAGCTGCCTTGATAGTGTGCAATACCTACTTTAGCCAGGAAGGGCTACCTGGTCTTCACAATGCCTTCCCCCAAACCCCAGCCTCTTGCTGGGTAATTTCCTCTTACAAATAAATAAGCTAGGAGTGTTAATTTATCTGTTTTGAGAAATAAAGTCTTTTCTCTCCGCAGCCCCCAAGACTCATCTAGAGTAAGGTAGGGAACCTCAGGTCTAGTGACCTGATTCTTCTTCCTAGTTCTACTCATTACTGTTGTGTCTTAGACCAGCCACTTAACCCCTCAGTTTTCCTCATTAGAAACATTTCTCCCGGCTGCATCTCAGTAAGGAGCTCTGAGGGTAAATGTGCTGTGCACACGGTGAAGCACTTGGTTCCTTGGAACAAAGGTTCCAGCTGAAATCCAGGTGTTATTCTGGTTTGCCACTTTCCTACAGTTTTTACCATTTGAAATCTGAGCCAATAGAGAAATCTGTGATGCTGTTTGTTTCACTTTGAACTTAAAATTCTGTCTTCCTTGGCGTTTTTCAAAGTAACTTTAAAAATATGAAAAAAAGAGCCCAGTTCATGAGCTGAGCCTTCATGCAGGATAACATTCTTTATTCTTCTTTAGTAATATATGCTGGCTTTTATTTAAAGTTGGTGTTGGGCTAGGCACTTTGAATATGTTATCTCAAGCCTGCAGTGGTTTGTAACTTCAGAAAATGATGCGGGTTTTTTTTAAATTTTCATTTTAAATTTTATTTTACTTTAGTTTCAAGGGTTGCAGTACAGTTTTGTTACATGGGCATATTGCATGATGGTGAGGTTTGGGCTTCTTTTGAGGCTAACCCCAGGTAATGAGCATGGTACCTGATGGGTGGTTTTTTAAACTCTTATCCTTCCTCTTTTTCTCCCTCTCCATTTTAGTAGTCCCCAGTGTCTGTTGTTGTCATCCTTGTGCCTGCGTAGGCTCAGTGTTTAGTTCTCACTTATGAGAACATGCTCTGGTATGGTTTCTTGAATGATATTTAGTAACCTGTTAACTTGTGCCGATGAGGTAGTTTATAGGGTTATACCTTGAAGAAATTGTATCTAGTAGGCTCAAGACTTTGGCAACTAGGAGTGTTTTTCCATTCTGTGTAATAACTAAAGTTACTGTACAGAACAGATGTAATTACATACTTTCTCTTGGAAAAATCTCTGAGAAATTTGTGCCTTTTTTTTAAATTCTTGCCTTTCCTTGCAAAACCATTTTTTAACTCTATACCCTAAAACTTCATGTTGTGGTGGGATTTTTTTTTTGGGGGGGGGTTATATGGTGGCGTACTCATGATAAAGGATTATTTTTAATTTTAGTATCTGAAGTTAGCCAAAGATATATTTTATAAAGTAAATGAAAGTGTTGTGTAAAATCACTAAAATTCGTTAAAATTATAGGCTGGGCACAGTGGCTCACATTTGTAGTCCCAGCAGTTTGGGAAGCCAAGGTGGAAGGGTTGCTTGAAGCCAGGAGTTTGAGGCTACAGTGAGCTATGATTATACCACTGCATTCCAGTCTGGGCAACAGAGCGAGACCCTGTCTCTAAAAAAAAGAAAAGGAAGTAGTGGGAGTCTGCCGGGGGTGGGGGCGCCACACTTCATCAACAACGGTACCTACATAATGGACATTTGTATTCCTAACCCTGAATTGTACCTGACATCTTTGAAGTAATAAATTTAAAAGTTAAAAAAAATTCTAAAGTAAAAAAAAGAAAGAAAATGGCTCCCAGGTTTTCTTATTAAAAAAAGATAAGAAATTTACAACTGTATTTTATCATTTGCTTTTCTAAATCAAAAAGAAAACTTTGTTTAAACAGTTTACTAAGTTAAAAAGTAATCTTAGATGTCCTTCACAATTGAATTAATTGTCAGATAAGGTTTTAATAGTTAAATACAAAATTTTAGGTTAACTGGGGGGAAAAAATGGTGCCTGAAACTTAATTTTCTAATTGCATGGTTTATTGTAACCTTTTAAAAGAGCCAGATGAGGTTGGACGTTAAGTAAATACTATCTATTGCCTGGGTCCTACCACCAGTGAGATGGTTTAGTCGGGATTGGGCCTCAATCAGCATGGTTTTAAAGCTTTCACAGATGATTCTAATGTGGAGCTTGGTGAGACTCATAGTAAGCAAACAATGGAGCGCAGCTAGATAGCTACACATTAGAATCACCTGGGGCAATTTTACTACTATGAGTGTCCAACTGCTAGAAATTCTGATTTAACTATTTAGGTAAGAAACAGATTTTTTTTTTCTAAACTCACTAGGTGATTCTGTTGTGTAACTGGGATTGAGAAATATTGTGACAAAAGGTAGTAAATTGTTTTAAGAAAGCTCTGTCATCATTTGAATTTTTAATGAAGCCTCTTCACATGAACTCTTTCATAATTTCAATTTATTCCATGACTAGAAATTTCTTAATGTATTTCTTATGTTTAAATGGAAATGTACATAATCTTTGACCAGTCTACTAATGGTATCATTATTAGGAGTGGAGCATAGCCAGCTGTCTCTAGATGCAGAATCACCAAGTCTGTAGCACCTTCAGATGTGTTTTAGCGTTTTCATATTGCAGTCCAATTTTTAAGTATTTTTGGAATAAATTAGACCTTGTTGAGATAAATTATCTGTAGTAAGTTAAGCTACTACAGATTGTGTTTAGTGTTCGGGTGCCTAAATTATTTGCATTGATTTTAATGCTTCACATATTCACAGAGAGAGGAAAAATTCTTGTTTGTGACTCCTCACCATTGAGTTTCTGTTTTCAAGTGGTGATCTTGAATTCAACTGGGAATATCGCAACCTTCTTACACTTCTTGAGGCCATACTAATGTGTGTAATATTTAGTATTTTGGTGAGAATGAATTGAAACCTTAGAGTTTTCAAAATAAATAACTCTATGCTTATTAGCCTGTACTTTTTCTCTTCTTAAGTAATTTTTAAAAATGAAGTTTTGTGGTACTGTTTCATCTATCTTATTCAAGGCTGTCATCTTTTAGTAGCAGTCCTTGTGTAGGCAATACTAATAATGAATTCATGCTTTAATATAACTTCCGACTATATGAGGTATTTTCGGGTTACACAATATCATAATATATTTTTAGGCGCCAATTAGAAATAGCCAGGATTTCTTTTTTCCTACTGAAATGTGGTGGTAGAGAGATAGTGACCCAAACATGCCTTTTGGGTGGAATTTACAGCATAAAACAAGGCTTCTTAAATGAGAGATGATGAAGCATGCAAAATTGCAAACTTTGGTGTGTGTTTTTGGAAAAAGACCCAGAGTGGTCTTATAATTTTAGAGGTCACTGACTTCCAAAATATTGAGAACCATTGAAATTAAGAAAAGGCAATATGATTTTTTTTTTTTTTTTTTTTTTTGCTGGTATCCAGAAAACATTGCTGTCAGGACAGAAACCCTGTATTGACAGAAAAAATGTGACCTGCATTTTCCTGTGCAGATGTTTTTTGGTGTGTGTTTAACTCCTGTGAGCTCATAGGATATTCTAGGAAATTATAGATTTTTTGACCTTAGTACATTTACAAAAACTATACTCTTGGCAGACTTTAAGATGCTGTACTGGATTAGATTTAAAGGTTTCTTTACATTCTCTGATTCAGAATTTTGTATCATTGGTAATTGGTTTTGAATCATTGGTAACTGATTGCTTTCTTTTCTTGTAGAATTTGCCATCTGCCTTAGTAGCCCATGTTCTGAATCCTCAACCTGGAGAGAAAATTCTAGATTTGTGTGCAGCACCAGGGGGCAAAGCAACACACATTGCAGCACTGATGCATGATCAGGTGAGCCTATCTTCATAACAAAACTACTCTCAAAATATTACATATTTAAGTAGCGAAGATAGAATAACATGTAACTTACGAAACGTACTGCCATTCATAAACCAATTTATTTCAGATTCAGCCAAAGTGAAGGCTGTTCAGTTATGTCAACTACCATATACTAAGTTTGGTAGACACTGATCATTTATGAAGGCTGTCTCAGGACCTTCTTGAATTCCCCATTTGTTAATACAATTAGAGAATAGAATTCTTCCCTCATAAAACTATTTAATACATTTAAGTGATCATTTCATATTCTTAATTATAAGATTTTCAATTTTTTTAACTATTAAATTCCATCACTAAAAATTAATTTCACAGTACATTGTCAAAGTGTGAAATATATATGTTGAAATATCTGTGCACACATAGATATATAATGCATAAATAAACTTACACACACACATATATAGGGTAAAGGACATATGTGTGTGTTTGTCTTGAGGATCATATAGATGTTATGATCTGGCTTAATTATAAAGCCTACATTGTTGTTGCAAAATATGAGTAAGACTGTCCTTGGATAACTTTAGCTTAGATTTTACTGCTTTTTCGTATGTATGTGTATTTGCCATGGTGTTTTCTTTCATTACGGGCTGGTTTCACCTATATTCAAAATTCATTGTGGCCTTATAACTATTATTTTCTTCAACTGAGATTCTTTAACTCAAGAAGGACATTGCCAGTTTATGCCATCTTTCCCATCTGTTTCAAATTCTTTAAAGCTAGAGGTTTCTAAAATCATTATGCTGTATCTTCACTTATAATAGGTTTCTTAATCTGGAGGCAGGTATTGATTGATTGATTAATTGACTAATTGATTGAACAACTATTTAGTACTTACTGTTTGCCATGTATTGGGAATACAGCACTGAACTATAGTGAACAAAATTTTTATCTTCATGGGACATGCATGCTGGCAGGAGACATATAATAAATAGATGAATACAAGATACGGCATATATGATTGTGTTAAGGGTTATGGCAAGAAATGAAGGAAGGTTGGGGAATAGGTACTGTTGAAGAGAGAATGCGCTTGTAGTTTTAAATAGGTGATGAGGAGGAGCCACAATGTGAAGGTATTATGTAAGGAAAGACCCAATGGTGATGAATGAGTGGAGGTCTGTGGAAAGAATGTTCTAACTAGAGAAAACAGTAGCTGTAAATGTTCAGAGGCAGAGGGTATTTGACTTGCTTGTGGAACCTCAGGAGTTTGACAGAGTAGAGTAAGTGAGGAGGGGAGCAGTGTGAAGAAAAAAGATCAGAAAGGAGAAGTGTTTGGTCAGAGCAGCTTTGTTGGATTTGAGAGGATTTGTATTTTACGCAGGAGTGATAGGAAGTCCTTGGGAGATTTTTGAGCAGAAGGGTCACATAAGCCTACTTACTACTTAAAGTATCATTTTGGTTGCTGGGTTGAAAGCAGATTATAAGAGGGCAAGGACAGAAACAGAGAGATCAGGTAGGAGACTGTAATTTGGGGAAAAGCAGTGGAGGTAGTACAAAGTGGTCAGGTTTTGATCTATTCTTAAGATATAACTGTTAGGAGGTGCTGATAGATTGGATGTGGGTTGTAAAAGTGAGAGCATATTTTAGGGTGACTCCTAAGGATTGGGGGCCTGAGGAAGTGGAGGAATGGAGTTGCTGCTGGATAGTTGTGATGGAGGAACAGATTTTGCTGGAACAAATCAATAATTTATTTTCCGATATATTAAAATGAGATGTCTATTAGATATCCAAGTTGAACAGGCAGTTGGTTATAGGAGTACAGAGTCTAAGAGAGATGTGGGTTAGAGATAAAAATTTTGAAGTTATCAACATACAGGTAATAGGTAAAGCCATAAAGCTGATGATGGGCTATAACGAGAATGTAGAAAATGTCAGAAATGAGAAAGAAGGACCAGTGACGTAGGAAGAAAACCAGAGGAGCGTGATACCCTGGAAGCCATGTGAAGAAAGAGGTGGAAAAAGATATTGAGGTCAACCATGTCAAATGTTGTTGATAAGCCAGGTAAGAAGAGACAGAACTCCCACTGGATTTAGTGTCATGGGGGTTATTGGTGACTTTCTCATAGCAGTTTTGGTGAGTGTCAGTATTGTTTGAATTGAGAATGAGAGGAATCAAATAGGTTGAATTGGGATGACTCCTCTTGTGGGGGAAGTGGTGTACAGAAGAGCAAAGAAAGGAGGTAGTATAGTTGAAGGGTGATGTGACTTGGAGTTTCTGTGTTTTGTTTTTTTATTTTAGATGAGAGAAATAAAGTTTGTATGCTAATAAGAATGATACATTAAAGGGAGAGATTGGTAACACCAGGGAGAGTAGAGAATTGCTGGAACAGTATCTTTGAGATGTGATAGGCTAAGATTTGATGACAAGAAACGTTAGATGGTAGCATGAGGTGTTTATCTATGCAAATAGGAGGGAAGACCTAGTACATGGGGGCAAATAGTGGGCTAGTATACTGGAAGTTCTCATCTGATTATTTTGGTTTTCTCTGTTCAGTAGGAAGCAAGGCCTTTGGATGAGTATGGGATTAGAAAGGAGGTAGTAAGATTTCTGAGAAGGTATGAAATAGAAATGTAGGAAAATGAGAGTGAGAATGGGCTATAGGCACATCATAAGAATTTCAGTCTTCACTAAGGTAGTGGTTATGAATGTAGAGTGAGATTAGTTGGTGTGGTTATGTTTTTGAGCTACATGAAGTTGACGAAGAATTGATTTAACCACAGTAGTGTTTTTGTTATGTGTATATGAGAAAGAAGCATGGAATCTAAGATGGATAAAGAGTGAAGCAAGGATATTAAAAGAGTAAAACAGGAGACTGGTTATTACTTTTCTAAATTACCTAGATTTATACAGTATATAAAACTTTTAGGAAACTAGGAAACTCAGCAATTACCTTCATGGTACTGATTTATAATTAAGAATGTATAATTAAGCTCTTCCTCTCTAGCTGATTTACTTGATAGAAGATAACTATCTCTGCTCCTACTCCCAAAAGTTCCAGATGGTACTTTATCAGTAGATCCATTTTTGATCAATAGTTGATGATTTGTAAGACTCTCAAAGGATTTACAAGAAATCTTAGACTGAAGAGGTAGAAATACTGACTGTGTCAAGGTAAAATTGTGGCTTTTGCCTTTTATTAGTACAAATCATGTTTTCCAAAGACTTCTGATGAAAATTCAGCATTACACGTTAGTATTTAACTCTATAGAATTTCTGAAATATTCACAATGTTACGAGCAGAGGGGATAAAAAGTATACAAAAATAAAAATTTATATGAAAAAAATATATTGAAAGGTTAAACCTACCATCTCTGCACTATATACACACATAAATATATATGCATTGTGTATGTGTGTATATATGTACATATATGTGCATACACATACATACATACACACACACACACATATATGTATGTATGTATGTATGTATGTATATAGTTGTCCCTTGTTTTATGTGGGGAATTTTTTTCCAGGACTGCCTGCGTATACTCAAAGCCACACATAGCTAAATCCCACAGTTGACCCTGCAGAACCTGCTTCTGTGAAAAGTTGGATTTCTGTGTATTGAAGTTTCATGTTTTTTAAAGACTGTTTTCCATCTGCCTATAAGTGGACCTGTGCAGTTTCAACCCATGTTGGTCAAGGGTCAATTGTATATGTACTATGTAGATGTACTACACAAACAATTTGCAGTAGCACATGTATAGCCTAAATGAGTAGCCTTAGGTCTAAAAAATACCTCCAGTAGAAAAAATATTTGTTGTTTAAATTTTGAGGAATTAATACTCCAGTTCACTAGAAGGGATATATTTGCCTGTTTATTTATATTCTTTCTTTGCTCCGAAAGACTTTAAGGTGGTAACTATCAAGACTGTTGAAGGAAAATGTACCACTAGTGTATAAAATGAAGCATATGAAATAGGATTCATTTTATGGAGTTGTAGAAGCATAAATGTGAAGCTTGATTATGATATGCTTTGAGAAAGTGATACTCCATTTAATTTGTGGTATATTTAATGTATTTGCTTAAAGGTAATTATTCACAAGTATTTGATTTGGTTTTCCGAAAGAGTCTGAATGTTATGGGTATATTCATTTTCTGTTGTTTAATGCTATGTAAAAACAAACAAAATCTTGGCAGCATGCAACTAAACAGTATTCTGCTCAGCTAGTCTCTGTTGGATGTGCTCTTGCACTGGTCACCTACAGATTACTTAGATGGTTCTGATGATCTTAGGTGAACTTACTCACTTGGGTTTGCATGATGTTGGCTTAGCTAAAGTGGCCTCAGTTAAGATAACTAGGATGTCCTGCCTATGGTTCACGTATCTCTTCTCCTCCTGCTAGGACTGGCAGGCTAGCCCATCAGAGGGCAGTCACTGGGAGGCTGGGAGATGGCAGAGAGCAGAGCAGAGCCCAACTGTTCATCACTTTTCATCACATTTGTTTAATCTCTGCTTCTATCACATTTACAGTCATCCCATTGGCTTAAACAGATCACATGACTGAGCCCAGAGTCCAGAGTATAGGTATAGCAAGGTGGCCTGGTGAAGGATGAGGATACATGGAGAGCTGAAGAGTAGGGGCTGTTTGGGCAGTCTACCACAGTGGGACAGCAGTATAGAAGTGAACAAGCCAAATAGAGATATTTGAGCCAGAGTTGAACCCAAATTTTGTTGCCGCTTTTAATATGTGGTTTTAGTAGGTAAGCACATCGTATATAAATGCTGCCTCTAAGCTTGTATTTTTGTAAAACTAGCCTTCAGCCAGTGAAGTTTCTCCTGCACTACGGTACATTTTTATTTTTATTTTTATTTTTTTTGAGTTGGAGTCTCACTCTGTCGCCCAGACTGGAGTGCAGTGGCCGCTCCCGGCCACCGCAGCCTCAACCTGCTGGGCTCCGGCAATCCTTCCGCCTCAGCCTTCCGAGTAGCTGGAATTACAGGCATGCACTACCACGCCCGCCTGATTTTTGATTTATTGTAGAGATGAGGTCTTGCTGCCCAGCTGGGTCTCGAACCCGCGGGCTCAGGCAATCCACTCACCTCAGCTCCCCAAAGGCACGGGATTACAGGCTGAGCCACCGAGCCCGGCTTCTACAGTACATTTTAACTACATTTCTAGTTCAACTCACTTTAAATGGTTTTCCTATTTGTCAAGGTATTAATGAAAATGTGCCATTGCTGCATACATCATACAAGGATGGTATATGTAAAAGGAACAAAAGCAAGAAAATGTATAGAAGAGTCAATCCCACCATATCCACAATATTATTTCATAGTGTGTTTTTAAGTATATGAGGGCCGAGCGTGTTGGCTGACACCTATAATCCCAGCATTCTGGGAGGCTAAGGTGGGAGGATTGCTTGAACTTAGGAGTTCAAGACCAGTCTGGGCAATGGTCAACATAGTGAGACCTTGTTTCTCAAAATAAAACAAAAAAATTGCTCGGTGTGGTGATGCATGCCTATAGTCTCAACTACTTGGGAGGCTGAGGTGAAAGGATCACCTGAGCCCAGGTGAGTCAGGATTATGCTACAGCACTTTAGCCTGGGTGTCAGTGAGATCCTGGCTCAAAACATAAATAAAATAAAATAAAATAAAATAAAAAACCATATGAATGTCACAGTGCATTCTTAAAATTGTGGTCTCTTTATTGACTTTTACTTAAATAAAGTGTTATCATATCAAATTATTTTTTAATTGCTTTTTATACCACTTCAGAACATTTTGCTATGATACACAGGTTTTAAATATTTTTCTGGTTTAGTGGCCATAATTTACAGGAATTTTAGTGTATAGCAGGAAAATATTAAGAGGATTGATTTTAAAGCGCATCTCAGAGAACTTTAAGGCAACTGTCTCATAGCGTTAGTTCATGTTCTTCCAGAAGTGAACATGGCATATCAAATTGGTAATTTTTAATCTTTACTTACAATTAATATTTTTAAGTTTTTTTGGAAGATTGCAAATGGTTTTTGTTTTCAAATTTTGCTGATCAAAAGTAGCTAGCCATTATAAGAAGATTGTTTTTCTGACAAGAATGTGTTTTTTTAAATGGAAGATTTAAGTATTTGATATAAATTGGATATACATTTGGTTAATATATTCAGCTTGAAAAGTAGGGGTGGAAGAAAACTGGGAAAGACCATAATTTCTCACCAGTTTTTCTGTTAACTTTCATGACTGCTTTTTTTTCTGTCTTTTTTTTTTCCTTTCTAGGGAGATGTAATAGCACTGGATAAAATCTTCAACAAAGTAGAAAAACTAAAGCAGAATGCTTTATTTTTAGGACTGAATTCCATTAGGGCATTTTGCTTTGATGGAACAAAGGCAGTTAAACTTGATATGATTGAGGACACAGAAGGTGAGTTAGATTTTGTTTTGTTTTTATCATTTTTAATTGTCAAATCATAATTATATCTGTGGGATATGGAGTAATACTTTGATATATGTGTGCAATGTGAAATGATTAAAACAAGCTAATTAACAGATCTGTTACCTCACTATTTTTTGTAGTAAGACATCTGAAATTTACTCTCTTAGCAGTTTTGATATGTAAAACACATTATTAACTATAGTCACCACATTGTGCAATGGATCTCAAAATCTTATTCTTCCTGTCTAACTGAAACTGTACCTTTTGAACAGCATCTCCTCATTCCCTCTGTCTTCCCTCAGCCTCTGGTAACTATGATTCTACTCTCTGTTTCTATAAATTTGACTTTCTAGATTCCCCATGTAAGTGAGATCATGTGCTATTTGTTCTTCAGTGCCTGACTTATTTCACTTAGGCATAATGTCTCCCTGGTTTATTAATTTTGTTGCAAATGACAGATTTTTTTTTTTAAGACAGAATAGTATTCCATTGTGTGTATATACTACATTTTCTTTATCCATTCATTTGTTGATGGGCACTAAGGTTGATTACATATCTTGGTTGTTGTGAATAATGCTGGAGTGAACATGGAGTGCAGATGTCTCTTTGACATATTGATTTCAATTTCTTTCTCTACATACTCAGTAGTGGGAATGCTGATTTATATGAAAATTCTATTTTTAGTTATTTGATGAATCTCCATACTGTTTTCCTTAATGGCTGTACTAATGTCTGCTTTTTTCTACATCCTTGCCAGTATTTGTTATTTTTTGTTATAATTATTTTTTATAACAGCCATTTTAACTAGGGCAAGATGATATCTTGTGGTTTTCATTTGCATTTTCTGATGATTAGTGACGTTGAGTATTTTTTTGTAGACCTGTTGGGTATTGTATGTATTCCCTGGAGAAATGTCTATTAGGTCTTTTGTTTACTTTTTAATAGATCTCTATTTACTTTATTTTTGAAAGATAGTTTTGCTGAATATAAAATTCTTGATTGACAGTTTGTTTTTTTCCCCCCTATACTATGTCATCTGTCTTTTGGCCTCCATTGTCCCTGATAAGAAGTCAGCTGTCAATCATATTGCCTTATTGTAGTTTCCTAACATGTGGCAAGTTGTTTTTTTCTTGCTGCCTTAAGATTTTCTCTTTACCTTTGGCTTTCAACATTTTTAAAATTCTCCATTAGCGTGTGTAGTACACAAACAGTGTATGCAACCATTTTTTAAAATCCACTTACATTAAACATACTTTTTTTCCCTTTACTTTTTTATTATAAAGATGTGGGGTACAATTCAGGGTTAGGTATACAAATGTTCATTATGCAGGTACCCTTGTTGATGAGGTGTATCCCCCCTCCCCTGGCATTTCCCTCAATTGCCAGTCCCACCCCACCTCTCCTGGTAGTTTAGCACTATTGAAAATCCGTTTCTTACAGTATTTGATATTTGTTCAATGTCTGCTTATAAGTGAGAAAATATGGTCCTCTGTTCTGTTTCTGTGATAGATCACTGAATATGATAGACCAAAGTTGCTGTGAAGTCCATATGTTTTTCTTTATGGCTACATGATATTCCATTGTGTATATGTACCACATTTTTTTTTTCCAGTCCAGCTTTGATGGGCAGTATGGTTGGTTCCATGTTTTTGCTATTGTGAATAGAGCTGCAACAAATGTGTGTGCAGATATCTTTTTGGTACAGTGACCTGAGTTCCTCTGGGTATATTCTCAATAGGGAAATTTCTAGGTCATATGGAAGGTCAATTTCTAGTTCTTCCTGAAATTGCCACCCTGTCTTCCAAAGAGGTGCACTAGTTGCATTCCCACCAGCAGTGTAGAAGTGTTTCTTTTTGTCCACATCCTTGACAGCATCTATTGTTGCTTTTTTTATTAATGATGGCCATTCTTACTGGGGATAGTTGGTATGTCATGGGATTTTCATTTGCATTTATCTGATGACTAGTGAGGCTAAGCACTTTTTCATGTGTCTGTTGGCTGCCCGTATATCTTGTTTTGAGAAGTGTTTATTCATGTCTTCCCCACTTTTTAATGGGGCTGTTTGTTTTTTTTTTTCCTTTCAGTGTGTTTGAGTTCCTTGTAGATATTAGGGCTTTGTCAGAGATACAGTTGGCAAATATTTTTTCCCATTCTGTGGGCTGTCACCCTGCTCTCTTAATGGTTTCTTTTGCTTTGCAGAAGCCTGTCAGTTTGATGAGGTCCCACTTGTCTATCTTATCTCTTATGGTATGGGTACTTGAGGTTTTGATCAGAAATTGGTTGCCAGTTCCAATTTCTATAGGGGTGTCTCCTGCATTTTCTAGGATTCTTATAGTTTGAGGTTTTACCTTTAGGTCTTTGATCCATTTAGAGTTGATTTTTGTGTATGGTTATAGCCAGGGGTCCTGTTTCAATCTTTTGCATGTAATCAGCCAGTTCTCCCAGCACCATTTACTGAATAGATTCTCCTCTCCCCAGTGGTTGTTGGAGGCTTTGTCAAAGATGAGTTGGTTGAGAAATTGAGGCTTTGCTTCTGGAATCTCTATCCTGTTCCATTGGTCTCTATGCCTGTTCTTGTATCAATACCAGACTTTTGATTATTGTAGTCTTATAGTAAAGTTTAAAGTCTGGAAGCGAGCGTGATACTTCCTGCTTTGTTTCTTTTGCTAAGAATTGTTTTGGCTATTCATGGTTGTTTATTTTTCCATATGAATTTCTATATTGTTTTTTCCAGGTCTGAGAAGAATGATGTTGGTAATTTAAAGGGTAGTATGGACATCTTAACAATGTTGATTCTTCCTTTCCATTAGCATGGAATATTTTTTTCATTTGTTTGTGCCTTCTTGGATTTCTTTGAGCAGTGTTTTGTAGCTCTCATTGTAAAGGTCTTTCACTTCTCTGGTTAGGAGAATGCTGTGGTGTTTCATTTTTTGTGTGTGTGGCTATTGTGAACGGGATTGTGCTTTTTATTTGGACTTCTGCTTGTTTATTGTTGGTGAATAGAAATGTGGTTGTGTTTTGCACATTTATTTTATATCCTGAGACTGTCCTAAAGTCCTTTATCAGTGCAGGGAGGTTTTTGACAGATTCTCTTGGTTTTTGAGGTAAAGAATCATGTCATCTGTAGAGAGGGATACCTTGACTTCCTCTTTTCCTATTTGGATGCCCCTTATCTCCTTCTCTTGTCTGATTGCTTTAGCCAGGACTTCCAAAACTACGTTGAAAAGGAGGGATGAGAGTGGGTATCCTTGTCCTGTTCCGGTTTTCAGGGGAAATGGTTCCAGTTTCTGTTCTGTTTAGCAGTGTGCTGGCTGAGGATTTCTCGTAGATGACTCTTACTGTTTTGAGGTATGTTTCATCTATACCTAGATATTCGAGGGTTTTTATCAAAAAGGGGTGCTGGATTTTATAGAAAGCTTTTTCTGTGTCTAATGATATAATCATTTGGGTTTTGTCTTTATATCTGTTAATGTATTTAATTATATTAATGGCCTTGCAGATGTTGAACCAGCCCTGCATCCCGGGAATGAAGCCTACTTGGTCATGGTAGATGATTTTTGAGATGTGTTTTGGATCTGATTTGCTAGAATCTTGTTGAGGACTTTTGCATCTATGTTCATAAGAGATATTGACCTGTAATTCTCTTTTTTGTTTGATCTTTACCCAGTTTGGTTATCAGTGAGATGTTAGCTTCATAAAATGATTTGGGGAGAATTCCATCTTTCTCAATTGCCTTTTCAATACTTTCAATAGGATTGGTATCAGCTCCTCCTTGCACGTTTTGTTGAATTCTGCTGGAAAGCTGTCTGGTCCGGGGCTTTTTTTTTTGTAGGTAGTTTTCTTATGACAGAGTCATTTCCTGTTGTTATTGGTCTATTTGGTGTCTCAGTGTCCTCTTGTTTCAACTTGGGGAGTATGATGTCAGAAAGTCCTCCATTTCATTTAGGTTATCGAGTTTGTTTCGAGGTGTGCATAGTAATCTCTGATAATCTTTTGTATTTCTTCATGGTCAGTTGTGATTTGATCTTTTGTATTTCTGATTGTGTTTATTTGGGCTTTTTCTCTCTCTTTCTTGGTCATTCTGCCTAGGGGTCCATCAATCTTGTTAATTCTTTCAAAGAACCAGCTTTTTGTTTTGTTGATATTTTCTATGATATTTTTGTCTTCTGTGTCCCATATTTGGGCTCTTATTTTGGTGATCTGGATTATTCTGCTAAAGTTGGCATTTGGGTGGTCTTCTCTTTCCAGCTCCCTTAGTTGATTTGTTAGGCTCTCAATTTGTGATCTTTCCATTTTGATGTGTGCTCTTGAGATATAAATTCCCCTCTTAGAACTGTTTTCATGGCATCCCAGAAGTTTTGGTAAGATGCTTCTTCATTTTCATTTGTTTCTAGGAATCTTTTAGTTTCTGCTTTGATTTCAGTGTTGACCCAGTTGTTGTTCAGCATCATACTGTTTAGTGTCCAAGTCTTTGTGGGCTTTGGGAAATTTTGTTGGTGCTGATATTTATTTTTATTCCACTGTGGTCTGAAAAGGTGCATGGCAATATTTCAACCTTATGGAATTCCCACTCACATGACCAGTCACTCATACCGGGACTCATATAGTCTGACTGGTTCAGCTGCCATCTTTCCTACCTCTCAAATATTATCTTATCTCTTATGGCATGGGCACTTGGGGTTTTGATCAGGAATTGGTTGCCTGTTCCAATTTCCATAAGAGTATCTCCTGCATTTTCTAAGATACTTATGGTTTGAGGTTTTGCATTTAGGTCTTTGATCCATTTAGAGTTAATTTTTGTGTATGGTTATAGGTAGGGGTTCTTTTTCAATCTTCTGCATGTGATCAGCCAGTTTTCCCAGCACCGTTTACTGAATAGGTTTTCCTCTCTCCAGTGGTTGCTGTGGGAGGCTTTGTCTAAGTTGAGTTGGTTGAGAAATAGAGGTTTTGCTTCCGGAATCTCTATCCTGTTCCATTGGTCAGTATGC